TTAGTTAATTTGTGAATGTAATCTTTGCTAGCTAGCTAGCTACGTTAGCACGTATTTACCTTGGAGCAAACGTATTTGTGTTTGTTGATATTCGCCATATTCAGCTGGGCATGGGGCCTGCCGCATTTCTTTATCCACTGGCGGCATCTCTCCTCTCGGGTTCTGGGTTTAGGAAACGGGTAAAATATCACCCCCCCTCTAAGCTTATGGGATATCTGCTATCCGGTTTGCAAAGACCATAAATAAGCACAACGCTTCACCATTTTCGCAATGAATTTGAACGCTAAGCTTGTCGGACTTCCACAGGGAGCCGCGCACGTGATCGAATATGATTGGACAACGGGCATTTAGGGGCGTGGCTTTGCGAAAGGTCAATTACTTATTGTAAAGCATTTGAACATTCTTTTGTGTCACATGTTAATTATTAAGTTGATGTATAACTGCATAGTATCTTCATTATTTAAAATATAAGGTGACTAAAAATGGCAACCGTACTTTCAGTTTTGGCAACCAAAAGCTGAGGCCTGGTTGCCTGGCAACCACTTTTAAAAGTTAGCGTTGAGCCCTGTGTTCTTAATAATTTATATAAAAGACAAACTTGTGAATGTTTCTCTTAAAACTATCAAATAATAAAGGTTATATTCAGTATTTGCCTTTTTCCACATTTCCATGAAGCTCCATGATGCTGACACTGACTGAATAGTTTAAACTAACATCATGTTCTCTTTATTCAGTCTGAGGGGTTGCAAGTTGTCAGGGATCAGCTGTTCTGCTCTGATCTCAGCTCTGACGTCCAACCCCTCCCATCTGAGAGATCTGGACCTGAGTCAGAACTACATGCAGGGTTCAGGAGTGAAGCGGCTGAGAGGTCTTCTGGAGAGTCCAGACTGCAGACTGGAGACTCTCAGGTCAGTAAGAGGTCGACTCTCTGCTGCTTCAGCAGTTTTGTGTTGGGGAGTTGATGTGTTCTCACACTGAGTAATCCCTCCACTTCTTCCTTCCAGACGTAGCCTAGCTTAGCACAACTCATCATCCTACCAATCACTACAGTTTTTTTATTATTTTACATCCACAAACATTATAATGTGAGCTTACAATGCAACATATTTTAGTAGGTAAGCAACTTTTAACGGATAAACAGGATTTTACAGAGGAGTGAGTCTGATTGGTTCGTCTGTCATGTGTTTTGTTTCTAGACTAATGAGCAGTTATTTCCTGTTAGCTGAGAGCTGAGGCAGTGAGTCGTAGTGTTTGCAGAGAAGAGATGATGGTAAAGCGTGAGATCAGTCAGGACTCGGAAGCTGACTCAAAGAATAAGGGTTGTGTTCATCTCTACAGGATCAATGACCAGACGATCAGAGCCAAGCATCAGAAGAGATGTGAGTATTGAAACCATATCCTCCATTCATCAAGATATTCTGCATTAAAGTTTCATCTTAAAACGAAAAATGGTTTTAAATTCCATCTTGTTTCAGCTCTCTTCAATCTTTTTAGCTGCCAATGTTTCGCTCTGTTCATATTTTATTAATCTTTCTCTGTCCCTTCTTCCCTCTGATGTCAAACAGGAAGTGAAAACAGGATGAACTGAGGGTATATTCGGATTAAAGAATAAACAAACAATCAAGATAGATTTGTTAATCGGAAATCTTCCAACGTTTAATTTACCTTAAAAAATGTACTTATAATATCAGATTCAGAATCCGGTTTACTGCCCGTTTTTACACGTGCAAGGAATTTGTTTTGGTGTGTTGTTACATTAGAGGAGAAACATACATATAAAATACAAAAATCATATTTTCTAAAGAAATAGATGTCTTTATATAACAGTGCTGTGATTGGCTGGTCTCACTGTGCTGTGATTGGCTGGTTCTTTTGAATATGACTTTATTTATACAACATGTTTTCTGACATGTAATGTTTAAATATGCTCATGAGGCGTTATGTAATGCTAACCTTGAGTGGATTCAGGAGAAATCTACTAGACAGAATTATTCAAATGTTTCTTGAGGAGACTTCAGATATTTTTCCTTTTTTTTAACTGTTTTTTAATCTGTTTCGTTCATGTAGAAAATGATTGTGTTGTGTTTAGGTTTCTCTCCATCTTGTCATTGTAATAAACAGTGATTGTCTGCTTGGGAACTGTATTAGCTGTACGGGTGTATTTGACCTTGAACGACCCTGTGACCCTAAAATAACTTCCTGACCCCTGACTCTTCGTCCGTTACATCGTACATCATCAGTTTGAGTTAATGGGGAAACCACCAGCACACATCAGACTCTTCCAGAGGCGCCATTGATCACAGTTTGATTAATAAATGGATGTGGACTTGAACTTTAAAACAATACTTTAGTGATTAGGATTCTGTGTAAAACCTACTCTGTAGGATTAAAGTGGTGATGTTGTGAAATTGTGATGTGTGCCTTGTTAAAGCACTTTGAGCTGCACCTGATGCATGAAAAGTGCTATACACATAAAGCTTATTATTATTATTATTGTTAGGGTCTGAGACCAGAGGTCGGCGAAGACCCTATTGTAATCGCCGTTATTATTATTTGTATTATTATTATATTTACCAGCGCTAAATCTGAATACAGGAATAATTAGGAAGGCTTGCCTCTCTTGTCGACGGCTTTATAAACAATTGCACACATTAGCATTTTGTGCACGTCACATACAGACAAGATATTCAGTTTAAGGACCAAATAGAGCAGAAGTAGAAACTCTAACAAAGTGTTTCTGCAGAAGGAAAAGTGTTTTCCTTTATCCCTATAGGACACGCGCTCTCAACGCCCATCTGATGCTTAGCTATCGCTGTATTTACCATGATTAGCATGTAGCTTTAGCCACCAGTGCTTGCTGTGGATCGTTTTCTTTAATTAATCCTATTAGTTACATTATCACCTGTAGTGTCTCCTGGTGATGCTCTTGACTTTGGATCCTAATGTGTTCCTAGAAGTCATCGATGTTGTGCTCTAAAGAAAAACTCAAATAAAGAATAGACAGTCTTTTTTTATCAGTTTTAGGGACTCCTTTATTCTCCATGATAATGACTGACCCAGAGAAGAAGCTATTTGCCCGTCTAACCACGCTGTGAGAGGAAGATGATGGGAATCTTCCTCACTGTGCCCGTGCTCCCTCTTTAATTACAGGAAGCAGCAGAGTGCTGTATAATTGGGGATGGAAATACATTGACTCTGTGTTATTGTGAACGCGTTATTTCAGAGGAAGGTGTCAGAGCGCACAGTAAACACACTCTCCTCGTGGATCTGAACTCTGCCATTTAGAGGTTTAAATGTTTCCTCTGCTGAAAGTTCACCACTAATTGAACTATGCACAGATCAGGGATGTGTCTCATGTACGATGCATGTTCGTATTGACATGTAATCAAGGTTATTAATTGGAGGTCAGTGCAGAAAACTGAGCACATTACAGATGCATTGGGTAAAACATGTCATTTACAGATATCACCATGAAACTTCCACACTTCATTCCATTAAGACAAATATTTTGTATACTACGCTCATGCTCTAATTCTGCAATAGTGTGTGTGTGTGTGTGTGTGTGTGTGTGTGTGTGTGTGTGTGTGTGTGTGTGTGTGTGTGTGTGTGTGTGTGTGTGTGTGTGTGTGTGTGTCGGGATATGTTCCTCCAACTTTCTAGAGTCTGACCCCAGATTCAGGACCAGATCTCAACACACACACACACACACACACACACACAAGCGCACATTTTAATTTGTATCTATTAGTTTGTGTAAATATTTTATTCCATTTAATTGTATTGCTTGATTGCATAATATCTCTTAAACACTTGAACGCGCTGTCTTTAAACAACTCTCCTGTTATCTCCATCAGAACAACCTTCTGGATCCGCACCAGTCTGGTTTCAAGGCAGGTCACTCAACAGAAACTGCTCTCCTTGCTGTCACTGAGGAACTGCACACGGCTAAAGCAGCCTCCCTCTCCTCTGTCATCATCCTTCTGGACCTGTCTGCTGCATTCGACACGGTGAACCATCAGATCCTCCTTCACACTCTCCAAGAACTTGGAGTGTCAGGCTCTGCACTTTCCCTCCTCACCTCATACCTCAAAGACACTAAAGGGTTACTCGGAGAGGGTCCGAGTCCGACCCTTGTCAATTAACTACAGGGGTCCCTCAGGGCTCTGTCCTTAGTCCCCTCCTCTTCTCCCTGTACACAAACTTGCTCGGATCAGTCATTAGCCCGCATGGTTTTTCATACCACTGCTACGCTGACGACACCCAACTACTTCTGTCCTTTCCCCGCTCAGAGACCCAGGTCGTCGCACGCATCTCTTATTGCCAAGCAGACATCCCTCAGTGGATGTGTCGTCCGTTACATCGTACATAGTCAGTTTGAGTTAATGGGGAAACCACCAGCACACATCAGACTCTTCCAGAGGTGCCATTGATCACAGTTTGATAAATAAATGGATGTGGACATGAACTTTAAAACAATATTTTAGTGATTAGGATTCTGTGTAAAACCTACTTTGTAGGGCTAAAGTGACTTTGGACTAAACTACTCAAGGAGAATGACATTGATGTTATGTGTCTTTATCTTTTTAGCGTTTGTCTTCAATTGATGTAACTGTAAAAAGAAATGTGTCTTTTGTGACATGTTGTCACGATTCTCATGTTATGTCACGTTTATAGTTTTGTAGGTTTGGGTGTTTTTGCTGTTTTCCATGTCATGTTTTCCTTTGGGTTAGTGTCTTGTCATTAGTTTCCCTGGTGTGTCTAATTGTCTGATTATGTTCACCTGGGTCCCTGTGTTTTCTCCTCCCTCCTCACCTGTGTCTTGTTGTGTGATTGAGTCTTGTGTGTATTTAAGTTCTGGGTTGTCTGTCTGTCTTGGTCGGTTCGTCTTGTTCCCTGACTAGTTCTGCGGTGAGTGTTCTGTTTGTCATTGTACATATATATCATAGCCTTGAAATAAAGGAAGTTTCAGTTTAAATCTGCATTTGGGTCCTGCTTGTTTCACAAACCGTGACACATGTGGGGTTCCTCAAGGCTCCATCCTGGGGCCTCTTCTCTTCAACATCTACATGCTACCACTGGCTCAGATAATGAAAAACAACAAAATAAGTTACATTTAAAATAAACGTGCGTTGCCCAGAGACCCAATTGAGTGAAGTGGGACATTTGGTGCAATGTGGCCCAATGGCGTTTTGTCCTGTAACTTTTGAACTGTATGCACAGATATAGTTTAGACGAATATATCCATATACGTAAACCTTGATTTCTTGCCATTTTTAATTCTTCCAAATCTGTATTTTTGCTACTCCTTCCAAAAATGTTGTTCAATCATCACCAAATTGGAACAGACCATCTCTAGAGTAAGCCGGAAGTAATACAATGTTTACAACTGTTAATGTTCTATGCTTGTAATTATTGTGATTATATAAATGTACTTTATCATCGTTTTTCAATAACTGTTGTTGTTTTTCTTTGAAGTTTCCACACATTTTTTCTAAAGACTAAGGTGCTTACTTTTTTAAGTTGCATTAACCTGGTAACCTTCTTCTTGTTGCTGGTGTGTGTGTGTGTGTGTGTGTGTGTGTGTGTGTGTGTGTGTGTGTGTGTGTGTGTGT